GGCTGAAGTCTCTGCTGCAGAGAGCTTATCGCCTGCAGGAGGAGTTTGAGGGCGTGTTGGGGACGCCTGAACCTTCGTCCCCCAGCAGCAGCAGCCAGGGTGAGGCACTCATACAGGGTTATGTAACGCTGGGTGGCCTGTGAAGCAGAATGCACCAGCTGGGTCGATGCAAAACCTTTCAATTTCTGTTGAAGAGTTTGTGTTTTGAAATTGTGTTCAAGTTTTGCAGACTCTACAATGATTTTAACCGTTTTTATCTCTTCACAGATGAAATTGCCGACTTTTTGGCCAGAGAGGAACTGGACGACGTCTGTCTGAGGGACAGCATCAGCATCGCTTCTACTGACTCGTTTGTGTCGGCCGTTGAGGTAATAGAATAGAATAGAATAGAATAGAAACAGCTTTTATTGTCCTGTGCAGGGAAGTGTAATAGCAGCAGCAGATACATGCATCAATCCACAGAAACAGTATATTGCTGTGTGACATTATCAACTGTAGCAATAATAATAATAGAATTAAAGATTGTAACAATAAAAATAAACATAGATCAAAAACAAAAGTAAGAATAATCATTACCGTAACGGGCTATCAGATGAAATTGGATAAAAATGAAAAATAAGGCAAGATACTGTGCAGAAAAATATAAATTACAGGAAAAGACAGTCATGACAGACTCATGATCYGAGGAGGTGTGCAAATTGAGTCAAAAATCATTAAGTCCAGTACAGGGGRAAWAAAAGATGTACAATTGCCACTGGTTATTAATTATTTATGTAATGATTGAGAGGTAGAGTTGTTGGGCGTGCAAACACAAACGTATGCTTATGATTGTTGTGAGCAGTGGTGGTTGTAGAGTCTAACAGCTGCAGAAGGATCTGCGGTAACGTTCTACCGAAGCTCTAAAGCATCTGTTTACATGCTTTTATTTTGAAAAGATCATGGCAATAAAAAAGAAATAGGTGTTTCAGCATGTAAAGGATGGAGAAACTTTGGGATTCGGTTCATTAGCGACTCTTTAAATCATCTTWTCTGAAGCTGTCTGAGACGGCGGATCTGTGTCGGAGTCGCAGCGGGAGTTTGACTCAAATAGCTGCGATCGTCYCGCGTTTTACCAGAACTCACTTTATCCTCTTTACTCATCAAATCTCTGCGGGGGGCTTGACCTGTGTGACTGGCTCTGCTGGTACTCCTGACCTGTAAACACTATAGTGTGCTGGATCTTTCTGAAATAATGGTGGACTGAAGAATATAAGAGAATTRTCTGTCACAACCCATGGCTCACCCRTTTGAAAAACGTTTAATTCATTAAATATAAATGGTTGCTAGTAATCACAATCCCCTTCTTATTCACGTACGTGAAATGTTTTTTTCTGATCAGTCATAGGGCAAGTCGATTCAATATTGCTTTAAATATTTAAATATCAATTTCATAATAAGTAGTAATTAAAAAATAATTAGAATTCCTGTGCGTAATTTTCTTGTCCATATAAACAGAAATGGTGTACACCGACATTTCTGAGAAATAAAATATCTAAAAATAAATCAGAACAGCAAAACTTGTTCTAAATATGGAGTTCAAACATAAAAACATGATCGAATTAAATCAGGATTTTCTGAATCGACATTGAATTGGAAAAAATATATCGCAATGCATTGATGAATTTATATTTTACCCACTCTTAATCAGTCATAACCTTTATTTTTAATCCAAAAATACAAAAATAACCTGGCTGTTAAGAGTAAATTTTTACTGATTGTTTGTTTTTGCTACTCGACCTACAGAATCGACATGTTTTATCTCATTTATGTTAAAGCTGATTAATCTTGTGGACAAAAAAGTTTCATGTTTACTGACAAATCAGGGTGAAGCTGGAGTCGCAGTGAAAATAGATTTGAACCGTCCTGCGGCACGTCTTTTATTACTGAGGTGAAAACATTTAAAGTTTCATTCGAGTTACATTAAAACTCTTTTCTGGTGTTTCAAACATCATCAAAGGTGTAAAAGAAAATCCAGGAAATAAAAATTTGAGTGAGGTTTAAGTCGTTTATGAAGAAAGTGTGAAGGTTTTTAGGTATAAAGCAGGTTTGAGTATATTCTGTTCTTTTTTTAAAGACTTTGTGTAACCTTGTGTTTCCGTCTCAGCCTCAGCTGTCGGAGCACAGAGAGCCGAGGAGCACCTTCACTCTGGGACAYCACCCGCTGTACGAGGAGGCGCTGCAGATGGCCGAAGACGGGGACGTCTCCTGCAGGGTGTTTCGGTAAAGAAGCTCCACGTTATGGAGGTGTTGGTTTGGTTTAAAGCAGCTGATCTGTGATGATTTGRTTTTCAGGACGGAGATCCTGGGGTGTTTTAGCGACACGGACTTCCTGGCTAAGCTGCACTGTGTTCGTCAGGCTTGTCAGGTAGTTTTCCTCAATCTGCAGTTCAGTACGTTTATTGTGACGATCTGTGACGTTACATCGTTTCATCCGCAGCTCCTTCTGCGGGACAGGGCGACCAGGATGTTTCTGGCCGACACGGGAAAGAAAATTCTGTCTTCCATCATCGTTAAAGCTCACAAAGTAAGTTCAAAGCAGCCAGCGAGTAAAATGATTCGTATTTGATGAGTTGTTCTCTGAACTTCTTTATTTTATTTTCAGAGTCCAAAGAGATTTGAGGAAGCGTTTGAGGATTTGATTTCCTTCCTGGAGCACGCGGAGCACTGGGAGGAAACGGAGAAGGAGCTGGTTTCACGAGGGGTCAGTTTGAATTAGATGTTTTATTTTGAAAAGTGGAATCAGGAGTTTTATTTTTATTTTTTTTAAATAAATGTCGTTGGTCCAGGTTAGGCATCTGAACTTCTACGATGTCGTTCTGGACTTTATCCTGATGGACTCCTTCGAGGACTTRGAGAATCCTCCCATCTCCATGAAGAACGTCATCAACAACCGCTGGCTCAACAGCTCCTTCAAGGAGACGGTGAGTCGAGCTGCGGAGCTAAAATTATTAATAATGTTCCACATATTTACGAGTTATCACCTGCTTTGTTCGTTTTACAGGCGGTGGCATCAAGCTGTTGGTCGGTACTGAAGCAGAAGAGGCAACACATGAAGGTAATGAAACTTTTTTTAATGTTTAATAAAAGGACTATCGTGCCAAATCTAATAAAAGGGGACCTAATATGCAAAATTCACTTTTTTCAGTTTATTTTTACTTAMTTTTGGGTGTGTACTGCTCCTAAAAACAGTCCAAGCACCAAAAAAAATGCACTTGGAGGTATTTTTACTATAAGTAAATGTATGTTTCTGTGTCTTGAAATGACCCGCTTTCAAACACCGCTACTTGTGATGTCACAAGTCTCACTCCAGCCCACCCCAACCTGAGCCCAGCTCATTTCCTGGTAAACAAGCAGAGACTCCGCCCACTTCTTCACAGGATGGTTTTAGARCAGTCATGGAGAACAGAGATGTGTGGATTAATGTTATTTTTGATGGCAGTGTTCCAGCAATATTAAAGTTGGTGTAAATTATTTCACCATGAACTACTTTGGAAAAATAGTACTTTCTACTGAAAGGAAACTTTTGGCGGGGGGCGGAGTTAATGTAAAAAAGGTGGGGTTCGGGTTTCCATAGCAGCTWATGCTTARAGCAGRTTCTGAAGAACAGGCAGAACTGAAAAGATGAAAATTCATTATTTGAGATTAATTTTGTGAATTAAATCAAATGAATGTTTTGTATAGCCCACAGATGGATCCTTATTTGTTCAAGGATCATTAAATAATTTTGTTGCATCGTTCCAGGAGACCGACGGCTTCGTCGCCCACTTCTACGCCGTCTGCGAACAGATCAGCCCTGTTCTGGCCTGGGGCTTCCTGGGCCCGAAGAGCTCCCTGCACGACCTCTGCTGCTTCTTTAAGGTCAGAAACCCAAATGAAAGCTCATTAAACTTCATAAATGTTGTTTATTTTCCTGTTTCCTCATAAATGTYGTCCCTGCAGGACCAGGTGCTCCACTTCCTGAGGGACATCTTCGACCTGGACAAGGTGCGCTACTCGTCGGTGGAGAGCCTGGCGGAGGACGTGCTCCTCCTGCTGCACCGGCGCTCCGAGCTGCTGCTGGCCTACCTGGGAGCCGACTGCCCCCGGCCCCTCGCGCTGCTGCCGGCGCCCTCCTGAAGGCGCAGGTGCAGTGAGAGGAAACACGGTTGGACCAAAGACAAACTTAAAACGCATCAGATCCACACATCATGTCGTGCTTTGTGGATTCAGGCAACCTGCACAGACCGCCTGGCCTCAGAGGCCCTGCCCACTTCTACAGTGCCATAGTAGTGAATTCTCTCAGCAATAATATTTGTAACCTAAAACCTGCAGGTTAGACGTTTTGCTTTGTAATTTAGGGCAGATTTACTGCAGTTGAACAAAGTTTGTGACACTAAAATGAAGATATTTATTTAGTCTTAAAGCTTAGAGTGAAGGGTTAGTTCTGCAGACATGCTYCTGCCTGAAGCTTCAAACAAAGCAGGCTTTAAGTGTTCACATCATACTAAATGCAGCATAGATGTATACACACAGGAATAAAAAGGAAAGCCAGCGTCAGTGTTGCAAGACTTTAAAACTCAGCACATGAAGAAAAAGCCTTATTAATGCAAATATCCACGTCTTGTCTGAATGTTTTGAAACATGTTCATTTCACTGCCATGTGGAGAAAATGCACAATTACAGAAAAATGTTTTCTTCTTTGGTTTTAGTGCTAAGAGGAAATGTTTCAAGTACCTCCCTCCTGATGAAAAGCCATCAACTTAGCAATTATTCATACGTGACGTCTGAAGAGAACGGTGATAATTTAGGGTTTTAAGTTGATTCAAGTATTTGAAAATGCTTAATAGCTGTGAGGGTTAACGGGAATGATTTCAGAGCAATTTGCCAAAGGGTTTCTCTGTTGAATCAAGAAAAATAAACTTGACAGGTGTTTGAAGACTTTCAAGAAAAGTGACCATTGTGTGTGTAAATAAACAAGTAAAAACTCGAGGCGGGTTTGTTTTTATTTCCTTTTCTGCGTAACAAAACTCCCGAGACGAGTCAGATTGGTAACAACCTTTATTGATGAACATGGCAACATTTCAATAGTGAGGAAATCGATTCAGGAAAACAAAAACAAAAAAACCAGAGTGAATATACAGCACACAAAACCTTGTTTACCTCTAAGGTATGCTCCTTTTCTCCTCTACACCCTGTGCATCTCAAACAAATTAACCTTTTAGTCACTAGAGAAAAGTGATTTTTCTTTTTTAAACTGACAACCTCCAACTTGACTTCCTGCTCTCATCCAACAACTAAAAATAAACACGTTTCAACACAAACAGGCATTCAGAAACCAGACAGCTCTAAACACCATGGCTTTACTTTGCAATCAAAATTTAAATTTCATTGCTGCTTTACCTTAAATCGGTGGAGCTCTTGAACGGTCTACGTTCAGCAGTGGGACAGACTCAAAGGATTCCTCCTTTTTGTGTGTGTGGAGGGGGGG